TCACACTAGCATTCTGATTAAGAAAGGGATTTAAGCGTCATACTGTTTGTTTGTTTTTGCTTTCTCTTAATCTTCTGTGGTTTATCAACATCTCAGCTAGGGCTGATATCCACAAGTCTAAAATCTTTCTCATTTAACCTTCTCCTGGACTAAGATCTCAGTCTTGTACCCAGGTATATTAGGTGTAGTCTTCTAGTAGCAGATAATGTGTTTGGAAATCTTGAACCATAATTACTCATTTTAAAGACTTTCCCAATACTCCTTTTCAGCCTCATTTTGTCACCATTCTAACTACATGGCATCTAGTGCCTTCATTTCCTGAGACTCCTGAATTTCTGATTATGAACTTACACTTTTCTGTTATTTTCAGTGATAGTTTTCACATTTCTCTGTTCTGTTAAGATAGAAACCACTTGTCTAATACTTTCATTAGCTTCCAAAACACCATGCTGTTGCTTTTTCTCTTCTTTTCTTTCTGGCAGTGTAGATTATTATTCTTTATTCCCTTGCTACTATTTTACTGGCATTCTGAATGGCGCAAGGACAAACATGTAGATTCAATCTGCCGTATGGACTCAGATATTCCAAAAATTACTTTATAATATAATTTAAAGCAACTCCTCTGGGTAGGTGTGCTGAGAATATGCATATTCTTCCACTTAAAAATCAGTCATGGGAAGGAAGTTTCAGCTATGGCTATGTGAAGAGGTCAAAGCATCCATAAAGCTAGACAAAATTATCAAAAAATAACCATTTTATGGCTCTCAAAAGTGACTAAAGCAGATAAGGTTAGAAGCATTTATTATTGAAAAGATGCCACGACTTTGGGCACGAACAGCCATGTCTCACACTATACACAAAAATTTACTCAAAATGGACCAAAGACTTGTGTGTAAGAGATAAAACTATAAAACTTATAGAAGAAAACATAAAAGAGGATCTTAGTGACTTTGAGTTAGGCTTTTTTAGACATTACACCAAAAGCACAATCTATAACAAGACTGATAAATTATACAAGTCTAAAATTTAAAAGATTTGTGCTTAAAAAAAAAAAAAAGCACCATTAAGAAAAGAAACGTAAACAGACAGGAAGAAAATATTCACAGTCTGGAAGAAAATATTTGCAAACCATATATCCAATAAAGGACTTGTACCCAACTAAATAATAATACAAATGACCAAATAAGAAATGGACAGAATACTTGAATAGCTATTCGATAAAAATGATAAATAGCTAATATAACATATATGTGTGTGTGTGTATGTGTGTGTGTGTGTGTGTGAAAAGATGCTCAACACTTTTACTCATTCAATTCCAATGAGATACTACTATGTATAAGCAAGACTAGCTGTAATAATAACAATAAATGTGATGATACTTAGTGTTGGCTAGGATGTGGTAAACTGGAACCCTCATTCATTTTTGGTAGGGATATAAAATGGTACAGTCACTTTGGAGAATAGTTTGGCAGCTTCTTAAAAAGTTAAATATAAATTTAAAGCATAACTCAACAATTAAACTCATAGATAGCTACCTGAGAAAAATCTAAACATATGTCCACATAAATACCTGTACATGGATGTTCATAAGAGCATCATTCATAATAGCCAAAAATTGGACAAAAGGCAAACATCCATCAAGCAGTGAGTGGATAAACATAACGTGGTGTGTCCGTACAATGGAACACGGTTCAATAATAAAATGAACAAACTACTGATAGATGGATGCCAGCATGGATGACATCTCCTCTCCAAATTATGTGAAGTGAAAAAAAAAAAGTGCCTATATAATACATGATTCCCTTTATAGGAAATTTCTAGAAAAGGCAACACTCTACACATAGATAGCAGATATGTGGGTGCCTGGGGCAGAAGGAGCAGGGATTGGCTACAAAAGGACACAATGGTACTTTTGGAGGTGATGGCTGTATTACAAAACTGGAGTATAGTAATGACTGCAAAACATACACATGTACTAAAAACTCCAGCTTTTCACTTAAAATTGGTTAATTGCATGATATATAATTTATACCTCCATAAAACTGTAAGAAAACCTATCATGAAAATTGCATTCCAAAACTCTTGGAATGTTTATAATTCTCAAGTAGTGTTTATAAACCTAGAAATAGTCAATTAGACAAACTGTGTTTTGCCTCTATTTTAGAGAGAAGTCATGGTAGATTCAGTAATTCAGCAATCTTAAGATTGGTTCCAATTCTGTGTGCCCTCATTTAAGGCCTTTAGGTGGGGCTTTTTGCAGCCAAAGTGATGAATAGAAAACAACCAGATAAAACAATATTAATGTAGATATGACTAATTTTTTAAATTTAAATATATCTAATTATAAAGTTAATTACAAGAAGTAATTATATTAAACAGCACAGGGGTCTCTAAACTTTTTTTTTTTTTTTTTACTTACTAAGGAATCGATACCCTCTTCTAGCCCTAACAGAGCTAGAGGCAAGTTCTTGATTTTCATTATTGTTGTTCTGTGATTAATTATATATATATAGCAATGTCTTGAATAATATTGGATGAATTAGAATAAATAATTATACAGGCACATAATGATGGGATTTTGAGCTTGACCAATAGATATGTATAATGAAAATTCATTCATTCATCCACTTATTCAACAACTATGTAATATTATTTATCATTTATTGGGACAAGCTCTGGAGTTGCAACAGTGGATGAGACATAGTACTCTCCTTAAGAAATTTATCTTCATCTAGTTGAGGGGACACAGAAGTATAACAGTAGTTGTCATTAGTGTGGAAAATATTCTGGTGGGGATAAATGCCAGACACGTAGTTGTCATGGGGACCCAGAGGAGAGGCACCTGACCTAGGATTGGTGGATCAAGAAAGGTTTCCTTCAGATGTTTCCCACGCAGAATTTTGGAAAACCTATCAGGGTTAGCCAAGAAGAATGGGAGAAGAAGGAAAAGAAGGTATTTCACATAGACAGAATAGTGTAAAGTGATTGTTAAGAGTTATAATGTGATCAATTCCTGGGTGTACAGGATCTGGTCTGCAGGCCTGTCCCCTGGGCCCCCATATCAATCCCTGACCCTGCCAGGGAGAAGAGTGCTGGTCTCAAGTCACCCATGGGGGTGCCCAAGCTGAATCACTGTCTCTCTGCCTCAGGGTTTGCCCTGCTCTGCTGGAATCACCAGGCAAGCAGCCCCTGGGAGGGCTGGTGAGTAGGAAGCTCACGTCTGAGTACCACCCCCAGTCCTCTGTAGGGTCCCAAAAGGAAAGGTCCCATTCCCTGCAGATGCCTCTGGGTGTTGGCAAAATTGTCTCTCTCAGTAGCAGCAGGTAGGGAGGGGAAGGAGAGAATGGAGCAATATGGCGCCTCCCTATCAGCTCCAGTCTGTGGGGCTGGAGGTGCCCTAAGGGAGCTGGGAGCCTGGTGCCCTGTCCACAAGAGGCTTACCACTCACTGGTGGCTGATCAAATTAAAAAGCTTCTGCACAGCCAAGGAAACTATCATGAGAGCAAATAGACAACCTATAGAATGGGAGAAAATATTTGCATATTACACATTCAATAAAGGGCTGAATAACTAGAATCCATGCAGAACTCAGGAAAATAAGCAAGGAAAAATCAAACAACCCTATCAAAAAGTGGGCAAAGGACATGAACAGAAACTTTTCAAAATAAGATAAACAAATGGCCAACAAACATATGAAAAAATGCTCAATATCTCTAATCACTAGGGAAATACAAATCAAAACCACAATGAGATATCACTTATCTCTAGTGAGAATGGCCTTTATCAAAAAGTCCCAAAACAATAAATGTTGGCGTGGATATGGAGAGATAGGAATACTTATACACTGCTGGTGACACTGCAAACTAGTACAACCTCTGTGGAAAGCAATATGGAGATACCTCAAAGAGCTACAAGTAGAACTACCATTTGATCCAGCAATCCCATTACTAGGCATCTACCCAAAAGAACAAAAGACATTCTATAAAAAAGACATCTGCACTAGAATGTTTATAGCAGCACAATTCACAATTGCAAAGATGTGGAAACCACCCTAGTGTCCATCAATACATGAATGGATTAATAAGATGTGGTATATGTATACTATGGAGTTCCACTCAGCCACAAAAAACAATGGTGATCTAGAACCTCTTGGATTATTCTAGATAGAGCTGGAGCCCATTCTACGAAGTGTCACGAGAATAGAAAACAAGCACCACATGTACTCACCATCAAATTGGTATTAACTGATTAATACTTAAGTGCACATATAGTAGTAACATTCATCAGGTGTCAGGCAGATGGGGCGAGGGAGGAGGGAATGGGTATATACACACCTAATGGGTGTGGTGCACATTGTCTGGGGCATGGACATGCTTGATGCTCTGACCTGGGTGGGACAAAGGCAATAAATATATGCAACCTATATATTCATACCCCCATAATAGGCTGAAATAAAAAAAAAAAAATTTAAAAAGAGCCAACCTAACCATTGATACGTGTACATAAGGGAAGGAACTAGAAACAAATAAAATAAAGCCATTGAGGAAGCCAAAAAAAAAAAAAAGAGTTAGAATGATATGTATGAGGAACTGAAAGTAGTTCATTGAGGCTAGAGCTACAGGTAAGGACTAGATCCTAAAAGGCTTTGTTCATAGTGCTCAGAAGTTTGAAAAATAAGGGAAATGATAGCCCATGAAGGCTTTTAAGAGAGAGAGATGTCACTATTAGAAGGGAAAAGCAGAATATGAGAGATGTGTCAGAGGTAGAACTTCATTGGCTTCATGTAATAGAAACACAGCAATAGTGGCTTATTGGTTGAATTAAATAAGAGGTGTTCTGTTTGTTTGTTTATTGTTTTGGTTTGTGAGTGCTTGTTTTTTCAGGTAATAAGAAATACAGAGGCAGAGAATCTTGACATAGTAGCTCTATGCTATCACCAGCAACCAAGAATTCTACTTTCTAGTGACATCATTTTTTGCATGTGACTTTTCTCCTGACAGTCGTAAAAGAGCTGCTACAATTTCAGACATTGCGCCTACATTCTAAGAAGGATGAAGGGAAAAGTGATGGATCAAGGGCTTGACAAAACAAGACAGCTAAGTCAATCAACACTTTAAAGAATCTTCCAGGAAACTTGTTGGGGTAAAATCTACTTATGTCCCATTGGTCAGAATTATGTCCTATGATAGCATAAGGGACACTAAAATATTAAATATTTTAATTAAGCAAATCAAGATTTTGGAAGGAAGAATGGATATTGAGTTAGCAACTCGCACTGCCTGACTTTATAAAAAAGTGCCCTGGACATTATCAGTGACAGTGGGGTTATAGGGAAGCAAATAGATTCAAGAGATATTAACAAAAGTAGAAGAGACAAGACCTATTGATTCTTTGGAAATGGAAAGCAAGGGAGAGGAGAGAATCAGGGTGATTCCCAGGTTCCTGCCTTGAACAATTGGATGTGGTGTCATTTACTGAAATGAAAAATGCAAATTGTGAGGAAAAGGTGATGAATTGAATTTTGGATATGTTGAGTTCAACATTCTTCTGGAATATTCAAGGAGAGATATCTCAAAGCTCAAAAGGAATACCAGCCAGAGGTGTAGACTAGAAAGTCATTTACATATTGATTGTAATGAAAGCCAATGGAGTGGATGAGATCTCAAAACTTAGAAAGTGAGAAGAAAAAATGGTCAAGGTATTTTAAAGAAAGAGCTAATAGGATTTGCTAACTTGTCAACTCTGCAAAGAGAATGCATGTTCAGATTTTATAACTGGGAGATTCTTTGATGCTTTTGGCAGTACACAAGGGAAATTGAAACTTAATAGCCCTTCTTTTTCTTTTTGACAAGGCATTTTTGATTCTTTGTAGTCAGCTCAAATATTAATACATGATCCCTTTTAAATTGCTTTATGCTCTCTATCACAAATAGATGATTAAATTGAATATGTTTAATAGAAACTATGTTAAACAGTAGTTGTGATCTGACATTTTAAAGGCCTGGGACCAACTTTCAATGTCATCACAAATTTTGCTTCTGGGATGATTATTTACTTGTTGTACATCTTAGCTCTATATTTTACAAATGTGGAGACTGAGGCTCATGCTCTTCTTGCAGAGATAGGTCAAATAAAGGTTCGTCGTACATGGGTGCCCAAGAAAAAGGCAGATAGAGGTTAAGTTACTAAAAAGCATCCTTGCCTCTCTTCTTGCTGTCCACAGAGGTCAGGGATGAGTGATCTTCAGGGTAATTGCTACTTCCCATTCTTCTTACCCCTGGATTCTGAGAAGCCTCAATCAGTAGGGTTTCCACACAGACTGAACAGTATGCGGTTGGCCTACTGTCTTTGTTTGACATGCAACACAGAGAAGTTAAGAGAGGCTATCAGACATTCATTGAGCTGATAAAACACAGACTATAACCAATTCCTGGGAAAATATTTTCTGCTGTATGGAGATAAATATTTATTTTAGCTCTGCTAGGAAGCATGAACCTAATAAATATGTTCCTTTTTCTAATGGTCTGTTTATATTTTAGAGACTTCATATCATGGATCTTGGTCATTTACATCATATATAATTCTCAAGACATATTTTCATGAAATGCTTTTGAGAAGGTCTAAACTTAGTCATCAGGAAAATATCCTTCTTTTTGTAAGTTCCCATAAATGACTTTGATTTCTATCTACTTCATAACATGCATAGATACTGAAGTCTTTTGCTCATATAATTACTTTTTATGTTAAAGGATTCAAAAGCTTACAAGGACATGTCACAATTTATACAACCCCAAGGAACAATTTTGTTTATAAATGACCATTTTGTTGCAAATTTTTTTAAACCTGTTAAGGCAAGAATACATCATAGAAAATAGAAACTAAAATCTAGGGACTCCCAGCAAGATTGCTGTGGGTGATTCTGGGAGTCATGAGGATACACAGGTAAGTTTACGTTTTAGGATCATATTACTGAGCTCAACTCAATATTGGTTTTGTGCTCTATTTTTCAAACCAATCCCAGGTCTGTGGCATGATTCCTTGTTTGTTACATGCTTCCCATATGCATCACATATCTTTTAAAATAGAAATATTTTCTAAATAGAAATATATATTATGACTAGTCTATAATATATAATATGATATGAAAGAATTTCCTTGATGAATAATGACATTCACAAGTTGTGCTCTTACAAAACAGTAGTCCCCCCTTATCTGCGGTTTCACTTTCAAGTATTTCAGCTACCCACAGTCAACCGTGGTCTGAAAATATTACATGGAAAATTCCAGAAATAAACAATTCACAAGTTTTAAATTGGGTGCTGTCTGAGCAGCATGATAAAATCTCATACCATCACACTCTGTCTTGCCTGGATGTGGACCCCCTCTTTGTCCAGAATATACTCTCTACTTACACTACACTAGTCACTAAGTAATTATTTCAGTGGTCAGATAGATTGTCATGGTATTATAGAGCTCGTATTCAAGTAACTCTCATTTTACTTTATAATGGCCCCGAAGTGCAAGAGCAGTGATGCTGGCATGTTGTTTTAAGTATTCTATTTTTTTTATTATTTTATGTTAATCTCTTACCATGCCTAATTTATAAGTAAACTTTATCATAGGTATGTCTATATAGGAAAAAAATCCAGTATATATAGGGTTCAGTACTATTTGCAGTTTCAGGTATACACTAGGAATCTTGCAAAGGATCCCCCGTGGATAAGGAGGGACTACTGTAAACTACTTCAAGACAATGAACTAAATCAAGACTGGAGGAAAGAATAAAGGTCATTTTGTCAGATCAACTGTGTGCAAGCTGTCATACTAGGCTTATGTCACTTTTTTATTGCCTGCAATCCTGAGAGGCAGGTGTTATCTGCACTTTACAAATGGGGAACCGGTTTAGTAACTGACATCCGGCGTCAGAGAAATGTAGTGAAGTCAGGGTTTAAACTCTGATTGCTCTTGTTTAGAACTATTGCTCAATAACTCAAACGCAATTCTTCATACCGTGGGTGTCAGGAAGTATGGAACCCAGATGCCAACCACCTAAGGATCCTCAAGTTTTCCTGCTTTGAAGGGCCCTAGTGCTCTTTCATACTTAAATAAAATGGCCCTTACAAACTTTGCAGTCCTATTGCCCTCACTAACATTGCTGAGAATTCCTGAAGACTCATGCTCGCAGTCCTTATTCGCCCCACTTGAGTGTGGCTACTCATCTCTGTAAGCATCTTGTCTCTGTCTTCCCGCAGCTCATTTGGACTCTCCACCCTGCTTTCACCCATAGGTAGGACAGAGTCCTCTTCATCGGTTTCCATGAAGCATCAGTACAAGGCAGTTTAATGTAGCTCTTTTCTATTAAAGTGCTGGGGATAGCAGAGGCTGATTATTTAGGAACACATCAAACCACTTAAAACCGAGTGGGGAAGCATTCCTCTTTGTCAAAGTTCTCTAGCCAGTATCATACTAGGATTTTCTCTTTGCCATCTTCTCTCAGGCATTTCCTTCTCAACATTTGCCCCTAGAATGTTATCTTTTTTCTTTCTCTTCTTGGTTCCCAGCTATTCTCACTCTTCTTCTCTTGGGCTGCCAAAGAAGTTCCGAAATATTGTTGTTCTGTTTTCATTTTGCAGAGATTTTAGCTTTCTTGCTTATTTGCCTTCCACTAAATTTGCCTGATAACTTCTAAAATAAAATACTCTCTTGTCCCTTAGGATAAATATTGCCAACAGCAACATATTTTTCAATTAGAATGTATTAATAATAACACTTATTTTTCTTTCTCTCCTAAAGATAGAATGGCACAAAAACAACATCACCAAGTAACCTGGGGAGATAGCACTGGCTTGATTCACTATTTACAATTTGTTCCGCAAATGTTATTTACATCTGAGAATCTCATCCACTCCATGAGGAAATTGAGATTTGAAAACTTTAAGAAATGTAACACATTTGTATAGCTAATAAATGCCACAACCAGATATTGAATTCAGATCTTAGAAATTAAGCTTAATAAACATAGCTGTGTTAGCTTTAAAAATTAAATGAGATAATTAATGTCTTGTATAATGGAAGCTATCATTTTTAATTTAAAATACTATCTGGACACAGGACTTGTAATAATCTTACCCGTGACATTGCTCAGTGAATTAAGTGATCTTTGTGAGAAATTGATATGTGCAAAGACTTGTGTTGCTACTATTCTCTATAATTTGGCTAGCATCTGATCTCCTATAAAAAAACACATGTGTTTCCCAAGCTCTGGTTAAAACTATGGAATGTTGCTAGGACCATACTGGCTAGAATGTTTTGTAATCACCAAGCCAAATGAATTTTACTTAAGAATGAGAAATTTCAATAGTTTTGATAATTTTGTAGCTGGGAATAATTATAGCAATTTTGCCATTTTCTATCACTAGGTGCTCAGGGTCTGACAAGAGTTCCCCAGAAGTAGTCATTTTTGTTGCTGAGTACTTTGGCAATCTCTTTGATCTTATATCCATAATAAAATTAAATCGTTTCCCATCTTTATATCAGAACTGAGGCATAGAGTATCTGAATGACTTTGCCTAAAATCCACATGGCTTACAAAGGCAGGACTAAGATTCACGACCAAGCCTTGTAACCTAGAGCTGAGCTGATCATTCCTGTCTACTCCAGACCTCTGCACTAGATTCAGAATTTTACTTTTCTTGTTTGTCATATACCTTCAACATCTTAATCAATGTATATATTACACTTGAGAATTGCAATTTTTTTTTTTTTTTTTCTTGTTT